CAAGCAATAACTATGGCACTGTGTCAGGTACGCACTGTGTCACTCCGCCCAGTGGTTTACTCAAGAAAGTAGTTCCGAGTATTTGCTTCATGTGTCGTAATGTTATTTAATTATACATTATTATTTCATAGTGTGGGGAATGCGCAAGTCATGTGTTTACCACTAGAGCGTTTTGGAGTCATTTGATGGTGTATTTGATTAGTTTTCAGGAAGAGAAGGGGCTGTACCTTTCACCTCCATTTTAGCAGGCAGCTCTGCTCCACCGATCTCAGAACTGCAGGCACTGACAATTAAAGGTAATGTACCTACCCATATGACTATAGGGATTACGGCAATAGGTGAATTTGCCAAAATGTCGAACTATCCCTTTAAAAGAAGAGTAAAAACGATCTTTTGCAGAGGGGTTTTGGGCTTGACTGCTTCTTGCCTCGAACCTGTTGCCAGGCAACCAGCAGCAGTCATGGATATGTAAGTATATTTCCCAAAATGTTTGAAGTCACACTAATGAATGCATTCAATACTTTTGATGCATCCTTCAATACCAAGGCTTTTAGCGGAAGTTGAATTTGTCTGAGATATACACACCAGAGTAAGGTGATTCTGAAGTGAGAGCAGGGGGAATTTTCATCTTCAGTTCGAAACGTAGAGCAGGGTCATAGTTGACAGGGACAGTCGGAGGGTCCGCAGCTGAAACCTGGAGAGAAAAAGATAGAAAGGTCAGCGTGTGTCAGACGATCATAAGCAGGTTCATGTATAAAATACAAATATTAGCATCTGTTGTTTTACATGTGCCACATAGAGAATACTCATGTCAAATTATAACGTCAGAACCCGCCGATCTGCCGGAGCCCTCCGGTGTGGAGTCTGCACGTTATCCCATGTTCCTCCCACAGTCTGAAGACTTCAGGCTTCAAACGTTTCAAAAAAATCAACTTTGCAAATATGTTTTGAGGGAGTAAATGCACTCAGCATGTATACCTTCACACACACTTGACCCCCATGCCAAATTTCAGGGCAAAAACTGTCAGCCAAAGGGTGGGGAAATTTTCGTGGACTGACCCACTTACAGAGTTGCTGGTCACAGCTTAAAAACGGAATTTGAAATGCAAACAGACATTGAAAAAAATACAACTGTACTGAAGTATTTTATACCTGAGGAGAAGCTGGCGGCACATTCACTGTAGAAGGCTGGTTTATCTGCAGAGCAGAGCAACACAACATATTAGCAGTGGAGAGGGAAGAGCGTAAACATATCACAAGTGTTGAGCCAACAAGAGCAGAGAAGGCAACACACACTAACCAGCAGGAGAGTCGGACTACGCCGTAAGACGATTGGTTGTAGTGTCTCAGAGGGTTCAGGAAAATTTAAATTCCATGACAAATAAGAAAACCAAAGAGCCCCACTACAGCTAATAAATGGACTTCATGGTATCAACATGTAACTCCATGTTTAGAAGCTTTATCATATTTTACAATGTGTGCTGCTCGGTCAGATAACATGGGAAATCTATGGAATACTTTATAGGAAGGAAAGCTGCACACATGCATCCATGCATTTTACACACACAACCTCACAAACACTCACAACTCATACTGTGTTACTCCCTCTAACAACTGGTCCATGAGTTACGAAAGAGGATGTAGCAAAATGATGTGTATGTCTGTCTACCTGTGTG